GAATTTACAGATTATTTTTGCTGCTCATTTTGAACCCCCAATTGTTTTTTCTCTCTGATATTATTTCTGCACATAATTCCATAGTGACCTTTGCATTATATTAATAATGAAATTGATCAATTCCACATCACTCAGCAAACTAATCGAGGGATATTAGCATAGATAGTCTAGCGATAGATAATTCCGAATCTTAAAGGGTTCGAGACTGGGCGTTTGATAACCGCCCCTCGCAAGTTAGCGTATCTAGTCGGTGGGGTAGAAAGGGACGTTTTGGTGTAACACGCGTTCCTTCTATTAAATTAACGTGAAGCAGAAGGGTAGAAATCACCCCCTCTAAGTAGTAGGTCATCCAGTTTGATCTTTGCGTCTTGAGAAATTTCACCATAACCTTTCCTCTAAACCCATATATATCAAACGTTATGGAGCAATATTAAATCTTAATCAATTATTCCTCATGTCGAATTTTCTTATTTTCATCAATGAAATAATTCACTCTTTATTCACTCTTTTTGACAAATATGTAGACGATATTTTGAAATAAGTGAAGTAGAAATCAATACTATAAGTAAATTGCGCGATAAGTTTCAGAGAATTAGCCCGCACATGCAATATTCCAAGACAATAATCCAACAGAAGCTATGATTCATGATATGAGGCAGCCCCTATCGAGTTAAGTTCTGTCTATAAAAGTTTCAACAAGAAAAGTGTATTTTCGTTTATCACACAGGCAAAAAGATTTCTATTGTGGTCAGGCAAAGTATCATGAATTCTTTATTCAATCGTCAATGTATAATTGCCGGGGAGTGAATAAAATATTTAATTGTAATGAGGAATAAAGATTCGCCAACTATTTTCAAACGGATTAAAATTGGAAAATTATATCGAAGAGCGGTTAATTAGAAGAAAGTCATGTAAGGTGGTAAATGATGGTTTATGGTACAAGGCGCAGAAATGTTTTCGAGATAAGCAAGTCGTCCAAAGGGGGTAAATCGTCGGGTTCTGCGAGTTTGAACGAAGAAAGGGTGTGTCGGACGGTCGTGTCCTGTCATGTCCGATAACGATAATACCTTGGGCTTTTGGCTCCCTTAGAGCCAAATATTCTCTCTAATTGCATAATAGGATGCCCGCATGAAGGAAGAACTGCAGTACAGAGAAACAGGGAAAACGGAAATTCGAACATATTGTGAGCAATCTATTCTAAACTTGTCCTCTCCATGTCTTGGAAGTGTTTTTATTATTTATCTTTGCTAAAACAATCACGCGAATTTTGTGGATAAAAAATTTTTGTGCCTAGAATTATTCTTTCTTGAAACAAAATATAATATTATAGCAAAAGTAGTATCCTTTAAATAAAGATAAATTGTCCCATTGAATTACTTCTCCCTCTCTCTCTTCTTATTTTTTCCGTGTCGAAAAAAGAAAAGAGTGGGTAAAAAAAATTCTCTATCAATTTTAAGCTGCCCTGTAGCTGAAACCACAAGTGGTAGAGGGACGTTCCCAATAAATTGATGAGACACCCTATCAGGTACTCCATATTAATTAATTGACCCTTCAGAAAAATTTTCCCTCCATTTTTATTTTAAAATGAGATCTCATTTTCCATAAAGAATTGTAGGCTTAACAGTTCTGTTTAAAAAATATACAGCGAGGCTTATTAATTTTTCTTCTTCTCAAATTATTTTAATTCAAACAGGAAAAACATGTACCTATTTTTATTTGTCTAGAAAATTAATTTTAAGCGAAAATAAATATAGTTTACTAAACAAATTTTATGATGTCTACTATTTTCGTTCAACAAAATTACAGGCTTTGTCCTATATTCTGACAAAAATTTTATTAATTTTGAAAATAATTGAATTTCTGCAAAGAATTTTACAATTTATAAAAGTAATTGAAGCCTTCTAAAGAATGTTATTACAAATTTATGAAAATAATTAAATGTTTGCGTACAATTTTATTAAAATTTTTTAAAATAATTGAATTGTGGAGAACAATTTACTTATTTATAAAGATAATTGCAATTTTGTGGAGAATTTAAAAAAAATTTTTAAACATAATTGAATTCCTGCGAAGAATTTTTATACTTTTGAAAATAATTGATTTCCTAAAAAGCATTTTATTATTTTTGAAAAAAATTGAATTTTTGCGAACGATTTTATTAGAATTTTTTAAAATAATTAAATTTCCAACAAAAAATTTATTACTTTTAAAAATAATTGAATTCTTGTGATAAATATTGTTATTCATAAAAATAATTGAATTTGCAAAGAATTTTGTTAAAATGCCTAAAAATAATTGAATTTCAGAGAAGAATTTTATTATTTATAAAAATAATTGATATTTTGACGAGAATTTAAAAAAATTTTTAAACATAATTGAATTTTTGCGAAGAATTTTATTAATTTTGAAAATAATTGAATTTCTAAAAGCATGTTATTATTTTTGAAAATAATTGAATTTTTGCGAACGATTTTATTAGAATTTTTTCAAATAATTGAATTTTCAAGAAAAAATGTATTACTTTTAAAAGTAATTGAATTCTTGTGATAAATGTGGTTATTCATAAAAATAATTAAATATTGCAAAGAATCTTATTAAAATGCCTAAAAATAATGGAATTTCAGAGAAGAATTTTATTATTTATAAAAATAATTGATATTTTGACGAGAATTTAAAAAAATTTTTAAACGTAATTGAATTTTTGCGAAGAATTTTATTACTTTTGAAAATAATTGAATTTCTGCAATCATTTGTAACTTCTCCAAAGTTCAAATTTTTTTTAGTGTTTCTCACTAAAATTCTTCTATAAATGAATTATTTTTAATAATTAATTAAACGTTTAATAAAAAAATGTAACTAATTTCAGAAGAATTTCAATTATATTTGTTTATAAAAATTCAATTATCTTGAAACAACAAAATTGAAAAATTTCAAAAATCTTATTTTTCAGAATTTTCAAATAAACTTTGCGAAAATTCAATTTTGTTAAAAAATTTTAATTGTATATCTTTTTTTAAATTATCTAATAAAAATTCTAATTATTAATCTTCGCACTAAGAAACATGAATACATTAGAATGTGACTCTTTATTAAATTCAACTATTTTTCAAATATTAAATTAAAATACTTTGAAAATTCGATTTGTTAAAAAGTTTTTAATGAAATTCTTTAATAAATTTAATTATTTTCCGTTGAATTTCACAAAATTTCTATTAATTCGATGATTTTTTTAAAATTCATTTACATACTATATTTGAATCAGTGATTAATTTTTTACTATCAAATTAATTATTTTTAACTAATTTAAGTTTAGAGAACAGTATAAAATATAAATATCTATAAAAATTGAAATAAAAAGCGATTTTTTAAAAACAAATTAAAATAATAAAACTTTTTTTAATTTGGTGACAAAATTCCCGGTTTGGCATAATATTCCTGGCTTATTCCCGGTCAAATTAAATTGGCTATTTCCCGGATTTCCTGGTTAGTAGACACCCTAAAATTTATTACAGGAATGTCCCTAGTAATAAAAAAGTTACTTTTTATAAAAAAGATACTTTTTACAAAAAAGGTGAAAGTTTTGGGTTTTTCGGTACAATGCTTATTTTGATAATTTTTTACTCTTAAACAATGAAACATAAAAATTTGGCCGAGTACAGTTTCGAAAGGTTTTTTCATGCTCATTCGATTGGAAATAAGCATTTCGAAAAAAAAATTTTTTTGGACCAAAAAAAGTCAAAATTAAAAATAAATTTTAATTTTTGGGGGGGAAGGATACGATTTTTTTTTTTTTTTTTTAACGAAAGTTGAGGTTTTTTCCTAAAAGAACATATATATATATATATATATGCAATTCCACGTGAGATTTAGGTCGACCTCTTAAAATCGGCCAAAAATATTTTTTTTATGTTCTGTATCGAAAAAAAACAGATACGTATTTTTTTATTTTTGTTTAATTGTCCAAATTTTCGAGTTATGAATTTTCGAAATTTTGGACTTTTAATTGTAGACCTATATTCAGTAGCTTATAAGTCCGAAAATATTGAGTTTAGGAAAAAGTTGTCAAAGTATGGAAGTTTCAGTTTTCTCTCGACTTTTCGGAAATGTAAACAAAAATTTTTTTTTTTAATTTGTTATTAAAAAAATTTTTTTTTAAACAAATTAATTTTTTTTAACTTTGGGCCGGATTTTTTTCTATTTTTTTTAAATTTATTTATACCTTATAATATAGAGAAGATTTTCCAAAATGTCCCGAAATGGGCCTGATGTGTTAAATGAGTTTTAAAACATTTTCAAAAATCACTTGCAAGCATCACAGTGGGATTTTTTTACAATTAACTTTTTAAAACTGTCTACAGCGTACAATTTTTAATCTATTTAAGTGTTTTTTGTCTTAAATCGAAGGATCTTTTTCAATGTTTAAACATTCTAGTCCTACTTTTGCATATATATGTCCTTTTAGGAAAAAACCTCAGCTTTCGTTTAAAAAAAAAAAAAAAAAAAAATCGTATCCTCCCCCCCCCCAAAAAATTAAAATTTATTTTTAATTTTGATTTTTTTTGGTCCAAAAAAATTTTTTTTCAAAATGCTTATTTCCAATCGAAAGAGCATGAAAAAACCTTTCGAAAGTGTACTCGGCCAAATTTTTATGTTTCATTGATTAAGAGTAAAAAATTATCAAAATAAACATTGCACCGTAAGACCCCTTGATCACTTGACGTGGAATCGCTCATATACTCAATATGTTAAGAGCAAAAAAATTTTATAAAATAAAAAAGCAATCAAAGAGCTTTAAAAACATTCACTGTTTACTTTTCCCTAATTTCCAAGTTTGAACAACACGAAAGAAATCTTATACAGTCTCGTGTGTTTTACGTCTGCATAAAACATCAATTACATTATGCGAATAATGTGTAAACGAATAGTCTTTTTTTCTAGGGAGCGAAGAAACGGCATCAAAGACTTGTCGAGCGATAAAAACAGAAAAAAAAAGAACTTACCTCCAACTTTTATAAGAATGAAATAAAAGACAAGCAGAATGGCGGTGGATTTGCATTTCCCTCACCCCGGTTTGTCTCCGTTATTATGCGATCGATCTACTGTCGATTGGCCACAAATTTCCCATAAATTCAAATTCTGACGTCTTAATACTCTCTCTTCCATTTATTTTGTTCTTCGCCACAGTAGAAAATGCTAAAAAAAAATAAAAAGAAATTAATTTTTAAATAGTAAATAATTAAAAATTCATCTCTGCAAAATTAGAGAAAATACCTACAAAATAATTTGGCGAAAATCTTTAACATCTTTAATTGATAGATTTTAAAATATACATTAATTTTATTTCAAGTAATAATATTGACATCTTTCAACTTTATATGAAAATGTTTCTTAATCAAAACCCAATGGTGATAATGGAAAAACTGTTAGTTCACAATTATAGAAAAACAATTTATTTTTATGAAAACAATTTCCAACTATTTTTGAAATACAATTTTATTCACGTGTGTAAATAAATAATTCTTAAATATTCGATATGGAAATAAAAATAATTAATTCTCACATATGTAAATAATTAAACTTCTATGCTTTATTAATATATGCTATACACTGGAAATACAAAACCAAATTCAATTTTTCTCTCTTAAAAATTTACAAGCCTTTTAGGGATACAAAGTTTATTTTCCGATATATGTTAATTAAATATCTGGTCAGAGTTTACGGTGTGAAATATCGACAATGAAGCGAGTATGTGACAAGTAAAAGAGCGAAAAAAGTATTCGCGGCTTATGACATAGCCACAGATTTTCGATTTTTAGTTTAATTAAATACTTCCTATTGCGACGATACCATTTTTGATGGAATAACAGTTTAAATATTACAAAAAAAATTCCCCAACATTATTTATTATCACACGAAATAATTTTTTTTCAATACTTTACAACATCCTTTAAAATACCAACACCACTATATTATATAGAAATATTGACCAATTTATAATGAAAATCGTTTTTTCAAAAAAAAAATATATTTTATTTAAAATGTCCAGTATTGAATAGACAAAATGTATTTTTCAATTAATTCTCGAACAATTTAACAGATTAATTAATCAAAACAGATAGACTGGCGTCTGGAAACACTCAACAGTCTGAATGTGCAATAAAATAGAAATAAAAATTGGTTTCATATTTGTACTTTTATAAATATATTAATTTAACGTCAAGACATATGTGGGTTTTGAATAAAGTGATAATCAATTATGGATAAAGTAAAAAGAATGGTTGAATATATTAAATAAATAATATTTTGGAAACTTGACGACGACCTGTAAGCATTATTATTACAGCTAAAATTGTACGTTTTTCAAGATTAATGGTAATTAATAGAAAATTCTTTGACAAGTTGGCATGAATAAATGTCTCATTTTTACTCTAGATATGAAATCAAAAATTCTTTAAGTTTATAATCATTAATTTAATAAGTTGCCTGAGCAAAATTTTTAATAAGACTTCATTTTTACTGTAAGATGCACAGTCTACATTTTCTGTATTTATAATATAAATAATGTTATGAATATTATTTATATTCTTTAATTTTGACATTCATGAAGCAAAACAAATTTCTATTTTGTAATTATATTGAAAAAATTTATTTTCACATTAAAGAAAATAATTTGATATTTATTCAGAATTATTTGTGCCATAATTTTTTGAGTTAATAAATAGCGTGGGAGACGATGGCACTGTGTAAGCAGGAACGTTTATCGTGTCATAAAGTTCAAGCAAACTTAACTTTAATTCCTTTCCCGCGTAGCGCGTCTTGTGTATAATATCCCAATATTAAATATGGAAATGAATATTTATGAATAATCATTGTATTTATACAATGTGATGTACTTCTCTTTGTAAACTCGCCATACTTTAAAGACTTTTGTTGCAAATAAAACATCAAATTTTTCAAATGAGAAAATTTATACACGAAATATGAATTTACTTCAAATAATGAATTACTATTATTATTATTATTTAAATATTTGTTAGTTTTACGTCCAAAAGTTTAAAATTTTTTTCCAACTTCGTCCAAAAATGGTCAAAAAATTATTATCAGTAGTATTTTTATTAATATTATTTTTATTATTACTATTTTTGTTATTATTCATTCGATTTTGTTTTCAATTCGAAATAAAACATGACAAAAGAAATTAATTATTTTGTAAAGCATGCTTTTTCCTGTTTTCTTTTTTCATTCTTTAAATAAATATTCAGCAGGCTTACACTTCATCTATCACGTAACTCAAAAAAAGGGACATCAAGTATAACCATAATCCATAAATAAGTCTCTCGCTACTGAAGACTTGATGGTTCTCTTTTTTATGTTTTTCTTTTTTTCATGGAAATGCCATGTTGTTATTGCCCTAGAGTGTTTTGATGACGAAGTGGATTATTGGAGAATCCCTCGCAAACTTTGAACCCCTTTCCACACTATATACCTCTCCTCCTCTCTATGTATCTATTGATTCAATACAGAATCGAATACCGTTAAAATTTTTCTTTTACTCGTGACTCAACAAAAATATGTAAAAAATAATTTACATAGTCTCCTCGTCTTATACCATCTCTCTCAAGTATTATAATAAATAAAGAAGAAGAAATAAAAAATTGCAAAAAAATAATGGTAAGACAAAATCAGAAAACTTGACAAACAATTATTGAAACCAATATTAAAAAAAACTCCAAATATTTAAATTTCAAAAAACAATACTTTCACAGTAAATCGTGAGGTATTAAAAAGTGTTGCAGATTAAATTAACATCAAAAAAGATTAAAATAATCAATTTTAGTGTTATTTTTTAGTTTTTTACAATGAATGAAATTTTAGTTTATTAATTTTTTTATAACTATAAAACATGAAGATATCGATAACTCCGAGTCGAAGACTCGGAGTCATCGATTTCTTCATATTTTATAATAATTTAAGATTACCAAGTAATAAAATCATTACTTTATATTATAAGAATATTATACTTCTTCAAAATTATTTTCATTATTTCAATTCAATTATTATTTTCAAAAATTGAAAACTACAATTTTACTTTATATCTATTATTTTTAATAATTTTCGAAAAAGTTCTTTGGCAATTTTCAATTCCATTTTTTTACAATATTCAATTTCACGAAATTTCAATTATTCCTAAATTCTTTAATTAAATGCATATTAGAAAATAAAAACTTCAAATAGTATAAAAGAAAATTCAATTAAACTTTTTCATAAAAATTAATTTCAAAATTCAATTATTTCTAAAAATCCACGCTATATTGCTTTTAATATTCAATTATAATCTAAAATTTTAACTAAAATTCATTTTTATGAAATGAAAATCAATTTTTATTAGAAAATTCTACAAGAATTTAATTATTTAAATGCAAAAGTAAATAATTTATTGAATAATTGAATATTTCTCAAAATTCAATTCTCATAAAGAATTTTAGTAACAAATTTTTAAATATTTGAATTTTTTTCTCGAATTTTATTAAAAACCTTGCATGAACATAATTACTTTTTTCAAGGAATTCAATTATAATTGTATGAAAAATAATTGAAACGCTGCGATAAATATTATTATTATTAAAAATAATTGAATCCTTAAGAAGAAATTTATTACTCTTGAAAATAATTGAATTTCAGCAATAATTTGTTACTTCTCTAAAATTGCATAAAAAATAATTGAAATTTTGCAATGAGTTTTAGAATGTATAAAAATACTCAAATTCCATTGAAACTTTTATTATTTACGAAAATTGTTGAATTATTGGAAAGAAATTTATAAAAAAAGTTGTAAATAACTGAATTTCTTTGAAATTTTTATTATTCGTAAAAAAAATTGAATTACTGCGTCAAAATCTATAAAAAAAATTTGTAAATAATTGAAATCCTAGAAAATTGTATTAAAATAGTAGATATTGAATTGAGGAAATTTTTTTAAAATAATTGAAATTTTGTCAAGAATTTTATTAAAATTTCTGAAAATATTTGAAATTTGTCAAGAATTTTATTAAAATTTTTTTGAAAATAATTGAAATTTTGGCAAGAATTTTATTAAAATTTCTGAAAATATTTGAAATTTATCAAGAATTTTATTAAAATTTTTTTGAAAATAATTGAAATTTTGGCAAGAATTTTATTAAAATTTCTGAAAATATTTGAATTTTGGAGAAAAATTTTATTATTTATAAAGATAATTGAAATTTTTGAGAAAAATTGTATTATCTACAAAAATATTTGAAATTTTGACGATAATTTTTAAAAATTTTTGAACATAATTGAATTTCTGCAATAATTTGCAACTTCTCTAAAATTAAATTTTTTTCTCACGTTTTTAACTAAAATTCTTTAATAAATCCATTATTTTCAATAATTTTTAAAAACGTTCTTTAAGAATTTTCAAATTCATTCGTTTACAATTCAATTTCACAAAATTTCAATTATCCGGAAATTCTGCAATTAAATATATATTGAAAAATAAAAACTTGAAATAATTTAAATAAAAAAGCTATTAAACTTTTAGAAAGAATTAATTCTACAGAATTTTTGGTCAAAAATATGAAAGATTAAGAATTTCAATGATTTTAATTTGAAACTTTTTCAAAATATAATTATTTCTAAAAATCCACGTTATAATGCTTTTAATATTTAATTATAATTTAAAATTTTCACTGAAATTCATTTTTAAAACCATTTTTATTAGTAAATTCTACAAGAATTCAATTATTTAAATACAAAAATAAATAATTTAGGTATTAATTTCATGTTTCTTGAAATTAAATTCTCATAAAAAATGTTATCAACAAATTTTTTAAATCATTAAATTCTTTGGACGAATTTTAATAACATTTTTAAGAATAATAACATTTTTTGAGGAATTCGATTAAAATTGCATTAAAAATAATTGAAATTCTTTGCTGAATTTTATTATTTATGAAAATAATTGAATTTCTAAAAGAATTTTATTATTTATAAAAATAATTGAATCGCTCAAAAAATGTTAATATTTGTGAAAATAATTGAATTATTGCGAAGAAATTTATAAAAAAAATTTTAAATAATTGAATTCCTGTAAACATTTTTATTATTTATGAAAATAATTGAATGTTTGCGTAGAATTTTATTGAAATATTTTGTAATAATGGAATTCTTTT